CCTCCAAGGGTAATATGAACAACTTAAGCACCTTTTCTTGATATTACTTTCGCGTTGACATAAGCAGAGCCGTAGTGCGAGTCCTTACCTACGTGAGAGTTGAGCTTGTGGTGAAGAAAGTTTGGGAAGTTCGAAGGAGTGCGCAAGGAGTGGATTCAGGAAGGCTAACTCCGATGTTTCTAACGCAACCTTTTGGGAAGTAGGTTGGTGGACTATTCCCTGGTAGTGAGCTATCATTTTTCTCACTTCCTCATTTGCTGATCATTTGAAAGGAATTTCGATGTTGTTAGGTAGCCTTGGCATTCAAATGTCATTCACGGAGTGGTGAAATTGGGCTCTTCGGGTGCTTGGTCCGAGAAACAGCTTGGACGGCTTTCGGATTGATGGTGGATGGTCGTTAGCAAGGACGGGAACATTGCAGCCTATTCTCGAAGTTCCATACGCATCTTGTGAGAAACTGTCACGAAATTCATAGCACCCGTCGCAGTAAGCGTGGAACGTTGGTTCCAAGAAGTGATATAGGGGTGGGACGGGAACATTATTGGCGGGTGACAGAAAGTGATAACAGTTGATAAGATCCGATAAGGGCCTCGGAAGGGGAGGGTCATCAAATTCGTAACGCAGGTTACAGCAACAGTGGGACCTCGATCCGAGAGGCGATATAGGGTGATATGATAGTGATACGGGACGGGAATATTATTGGCGGGTACGGAAGTGATAGGAGCTAAAGTGACAAGGTAACATGGGAAAATCCGCTTCACCGCTCACAACAACAATGCGATCGATATGACTCAAGTATAACGATCTGACCATTGAGATCGTTATACTGAGTAGTATAACGATCTCAATGATTCCAACAGAACTCATTCCTCACTGCTTATTAGTAACGACATCATGTACGACCGCTAAGCTAGCTCTATTCCAAATGCATGGGGTTTGTTTACAGAGATGTTATGAACAGCAGCAATTGACTTTATCACTCTTACCACAATTATCTTCCATCAACAACTCAGTGAGGGCCATTTAAAGGGTTCCACTGCTTTGCGGGAGTGCATTCCAAAGCAAGACGCTTTAAGAGGACAGAATGCATGAATCATAGGCTGCTTCAGCGGCTATCCTAACAGGCTGCAATATTCCCGTGTAGGTTATGAACGTACCAGTCGGATCGCTGGCTAAGGCCGGCTCTCCTCCTGTGATGCGGCGGGCGCTGCTGCTGCTTCTGCGTCTTGACGGAACGAGCGCTGCTTTTCAGTTCTTGGCTGATGCAGAAGATTCCTTTGAACAGTGTGGTTGGTCAACGATCCTTAACTTAGCACGCGGCAAATCCGCTGTCACAGAAGGAGGAGCGCCCGGCGACAGCTGAGCGATCTGACTGTTGATAATATAACTCGAATAGCGGATGGTGCTTTAGCCGGTTTCGTAGCGATAATGAGTTGATCTCTCAGTAGTACCTACAGCCACCCCAGTGCACGGCGTACATAGTATCTTATCAGAATGTTTGTACATATTGCTTTCCATACTAAGGAAAATATATGGTGAAACTTTCGTACCAAGAAAAAAGTCTTTTATGTATAACAATCACGATTTATCAAAAATGCGGATGCAGAAGGTGATAAAATGCACTGTACGTCTTTCCAGACTGAACTCAACGGAAGCGCGAGAGGAGAACGGAAATGCTGCTGAAGAATGCTGCACGTGGGCACCGAAAGACAATGTGGCTAAGGTGATGAGTTTCGAGTTCCAAGTAGGATCACATACTTCTCAGAGTAGTTCACTTATTCAACAGATACCAGTAGTATCAATGAAGACATGGTGAATGTGTGCAAGCACTGTGGTTCGAGTATGGATTTGCATGTGCTAGGTGATCTAGCAGTAAAAAAACAGTAGAAATCGCCGAATACTCTCTTTTTCTCGGGCTGCATCCGCTAATTCTATTGATGTGAACAGTAGGTCACTCTCTGCGTTTGTTGCCTTGCACTGACATCTTTGCAGCAGAGCATGCACGTTCATACTCCACGATCCGATAGCTTGGATCGCTTAAAGACACATAGTACGCTCACACACATTGAGGGTGTATGAGACTATCAGCCCCCAGCTGTCGATGTGTCGTGGTCCCCCGCCCAAACATGCCCAGGAATGGAGATACAGGACCGTGAAACACGCTAATTCCTCCATGCTCCGCCTTACACCTTTTTGCGGCGCAGATTCCCGTCCTTCATAACATCCGTCGTAAGCGCGCGTGTCGCGTGCGGCTCCTTGGCACTTTGCCAAGTCCTTTAATTGCGCTCTCAATACAAGTAAAACGCAATTTCCTGATGCGGATAACATTGGAGGTGCTGCAAAATAAGAACAGAAGATGATGACGAGGGTCAGAACTTAAAAGCAACTGTGCCACTTCTGCAACATCCCTCGGAGGCCGCGTATTTCCACGAAACATGAAAATAAAAACGGCATACTCGTTAGTTTAATACAAGCAAAACGCAATTTCCTGATGCGAATAAAATTTTAGGTGTTGCTCATGCTTCAAAATCCATGTACAAGGAGATGAAGATGACACAGGCTAGAAATGAAGCACAACGATGTAAATGTAAACAAAACAAAAATGAAAAAATCAAGGAAAGGCAAATTAGATAAACTGGCCTGTAAATTTCTACGATCCGGCGCCAAAGCCATAGAAATACTTAGAACAAACGAGTGGGACGCTTGGGCTGTTTTTATTTTCATGTTTCGTGGACATACGCGGCCTCCGAGGGATGTTGCAGAAGTGGCACAGTTGCTTTTAAGTTCTGACCCTCGTCATCATCTTCTGTTCTTATTTTGCAGCACCTCCAATGTTATCCGCATCAGGAAATTGCGTTTTACTTGTATTTGAAAGCGCAATTAAAGGACTTGGCAAAGTGCCAAGGAGCCGCACGCGACACGCGCGCTTACGACGGATGTTATGAAGGACGGGAATCTGCGCCGCAAAAAGGTGTAAGGCGGAGCATGGAGGAATTAGCGTGTTTCACGGTCCTGTATCTCCATTCCTGGGCATGTTTGGGCGGGGGACCACGACACATCGACAGCTGGGGGCTGATAGTCTCATACACCCTCAATGTGTGTGAGCGTACCATGTGTCTTTAAGCAACTGGATGGTGCGAGCGATCGGATCGCTCGACCACCACCCAGTTGCTCAAGCCACAACCGTGTGCGCTCCACCGCCTTTCGGTACACTGGTGCAGCGTTGGAATTCAATTCAGCCGCGTCAAGCTCTGCACGAGCGGAACTCAATTTGGATTACGCCGTTGCAGCGGTTGACGATGGAGCGCCTCCTGGCACGATCTCGCCGTCCGATCGCGCGACTCCAAGCGACCGGGTTACGAAGTATGGAACATGGTCTTGTCATTTGTTGACGATTAAACATTGAGAAGTTCTCTCATCAAATGTGCTGTTTTTATAAGGGCCCTTGTGCTTGCGTTATTTTTCCTCACCCATTCATAAAAGATGATAGACCAGAACTAATGTCGTCCAATCGGCACTGACAATTTTCGAAAAATCTGAGTTAGAATTTGTCTTGATAGCTTTGAAAGCCTCAAAATTGACGGAGTGGTCTTTGTTCTTTCAAAAGATTTACATTTCAAATATTGTGCCGTCGAACTTTCCTACCATCTTAATACTACCTGTACAGGTTGGTCTCGGATGCCTACTGGTTTCGACATTACCTTTCCTCGCCTATTCAATTGTTTGCTTGAATCCAATGAAATCCGACTTCAATAACGTCTCCTACATCGTCGTTCCAGTAATAATCAGTCGATTGTGTCCACTACTGAATCCGCTTCTGTACATATGGTAGGTGCTTTGCTTTCTGGCATGAGCAGTCGCGTCCAGGGCACGCCGTCGATGTAGAAATCAGAAATCTCGATATTCAAGTATTCGATTCGTTGTAAACCGTTTTTCTGGGGAGGGGAGTTGTAACAGCGCCTCTTTTGGGGCCTGAGGAGGGGGATAGTATCCCTGGTAGGAAGATGTGCGTGCTCTATTCACGTCACTGCTAAGTTCCCTTGTTTTTATTGATGGATTCATACAGTTTGGGCCAAAACTGAAAGCTCGTTCAGGTGCAATCCCGACATCGTTCCAATTAACACATTTATCGCAAAACGTTTGGCAAGACGTCGCCCACCTCCCAAGACGTACCACACGATCAACCTCATCGCAGAAGTTCCTGGCATGTCATTCCCTATCCTCACACCTGCAGGTAATACACATTTTCGGCGCATTATTGAGCCAGTTGTCAACATTTATTGAAATGGTTGAAAAATGCGTGATCTACGGAGTACCATTTTGAACAGAAGAAAGTTTTCCAAGTAAATCGCTGAGGAGGCTTTCATCCTCGAATATTCCTGGAGCTTCTTGATCCCAACTAGCAGGTTGTGAGGGAAGTTCTTGTGACCTTCTGTACTCGAATTTCAATATCTCGGTATCGCGCATATCTCGGTTCAGTAAAAATCCTTTATCGAAATATTAACTCAACTTAGCTGTTGCTATCAACACACTTCTGCCAATGAGAAATTTGTTTGTTCCGGTTGCTAAGGTGTCCGGAAACCTTGAGGCGATGATATGGAGCAACGACCGTCTTTGAAGTGTTTCTCTCCGAGAAAATAGTGAGGTTTTGAAGAAGTGGTAGTTGGGGGGAGGAGGAGGGACTTAAGTCTAGTGAGCATGGCGGATGTAAGAGGACGCTGGAACTTTTGAGCTCCACTGCAGATAATCAATTTACGACTGGTCAGATAACTATGGCCATGAATTCACCTTGGTCTTTCCAACCACTATCGAACAACCATTGCCCGACCAGCCAGTTCACAATTTGACAGGGTGGGCATGATGGCTGGACGGTCACTACCAACGTCGCTGGTGGAAGGAC